CAGTAATAAATAGCTTCCAAGATTTTATATATAGCTTCCAAAATTTAAATATAGCTTCCAAGATTTTTATATAGCTTCCAAGATTTTGTATATAGCTTCTGACCTCTAACCCCTGGAACAAGCAAAGAGGCTGATATACAGGGTAACCTAAACCCTAAATCCTCAATCCTACGAACTCCCCTATGATAAACCCCCTTAAGGAGTTTAGATTATAGCTCAAACCCTATATACCCCCCCTACTATATTTATAACCCTCCTTAAGGAGTTTAGATTATAACAATAACCCCAATCTAACCCCTATAGAATCCCTATACACTATAGTAGTTTCCATTTTATTTTCCATTACCTATAGCTCATGTAGAAGCTTAGAGCCCGAGGGTCCATTGTGGTTTTGGTACAGGGGAAGGTATTCTATTGTGGTTATTCTTAGGGTTTAGGGTTTAGGGTATAAGGATATTACCCCAAAGGTTAGGGTTTAGGGTTCGGGCCCAATAATGGAGAATCACATGGAAAATGACATGGAAAATGAAATGGACACGGGGGTACAGACTGCTTTTGTATGCCAGGTATATAGCCGAGCCAAACACTACGTGATTGAGTAAAAATGATTACCAAATACCCTTCGAGGACCACATCCCCCGTTATGGACGTGCTACTCATACCATTCGAGGACCATCCCCCGTTATGGACACGCTACTCTCTATTGGAGACTGCTATTGGCCCTCAGGGGTGTGCTCAACATCTCCTTTATAATACTCAGCACGGACCCAACGAATCTCCGTTCCATCCACATGTACCCCTATGGGTCCCTTATGGCCCCATGAAAGGAAATCCCACATCTTAACCTTCTACGATCTTACTTTGAGAACGCCTCGTTCTTTCTTGCTGTTTGGCTTCCCTAAGCCTTAAACCCCAAGCTACTCCGCCTTTGTAGCACCAGTCTCTTCTTTGTCAAGGATTTTGCTGGTCTCCTGCAGATGCAGCTTTCGGCATCTCGCAACTATAGGGCTTACCTATCACCCCACTTACCTACAGTTGTACGGGGCATACCTACTAATTAAACGGTGATTACTACTGAGCTGTAGGTATTTGGGATTGCAGGTTTCGGGCTTCTTTATCTGATCCGGAACCCTCCGCCACTTATTGGCGGTTTCTAAACAACACAAACTGGCTGTGACTGAGCCCATCATTTTGTAACTATGCGCCCTCGAGATTTGTGGCCTGTAGAGTCCAGGTTGTACCATCTGCTTGCAGAGTCTAGCCTTACTGCCTTACTGGTCAAGCCCAACAGATTGGGCCAAACAAGTTAAGGGTTTAGGGTTTAAGGTGCACTCTTTTTGCCATGAAAATCCATCTAGCGTAGCCGTCAAAATGGTCAAGTGTACCTACTCACCTATAGCTTGTTATGTTCAGCGCCCTAAACCCTAAACCCTAAACCCTGACCCTAAACCCTGAACCCTAAACCCTAAACCCTAAATTCCCACCCGGCCTGCTTGGCCGTTCCCACCCATTACTAGGGTGGTCAGACACTGAAGATACACGTCAGCCTGAGGCCCCTGGAGGCCCCTCAAAAGGTCTGGAAACCTTGGAGGTTCCTGGAGGCCCCTGGAGGCCCCTGGAGGCCCTGGATGCCCCTGCCTGCGGCGGGCCCGTCCTTCGCACAAGTATTCAGTGCAAAAGAGAATCGAGAAAACGATCTCTTGGAGGTGGGAATTGAAGGCGTAGCCCTAAACCCTAACAGGTAATAATCTGGGTAGTAGCCTGTGATGTCTCACAGCGGGTGGGAATTTTGAAGAAAGCCCAGTTTC